GGTCAGACAGTGCTTAACATGTCCTTTATGCCAAGTACCTTCTAAGCTTATTCACCTGCAAGCTAACATGGGCTCATGTAAGTTTTCTGAAAGCAGAATGCTTTGTCCGGGTCTAGATTTGCTGCACTAATATTGTCATCTCTCTGACTGTACTGTTTAATATCACAATCTTCACCAGGGCAGAGGAGCATTGATCTCACAATGGCTGTTTCTTTTGTGCTGGCTGAGTGGGCTTGAGAGCCATAAGGCTCCAAAATGCCAGCAGATAGAATGAATCTGTCCAGGCTGCTTCTCCAGCAAGCTATGTAGATTACACAGAGAGAAAGCTTGGAATAACTGTGACCTTTTTCCATACTGTGACAGTTGTTAACATGTTTTGCAGATTATGAAATGCCAAATTGCCCAGAATTGGATCTTTTCTCTGAAACCAGTAGTGTTGTGACAGCCAGCGACATGAACAGCAAGTATTCACACAGCAATTCAAGAATATCAGCGTAAGTATCTGCCTCCAAATTTGGTAGTGGCTGCACTGGCATCAGCATTTGGGAGGGCAGCTTGCTCATGCTTGGCATGCTCCTCCTCGCAGCTGTGAATGCCTTGAAGCTGCTTTAATTACAGGCATTTCCTGGTTATTTTAACTCATTGGGAGGGAGAGAGGAGAAAATGCCAGAAGCTACTTAGTGTAACAGGAACTGAGTGCCCAGCAGAGGAGCTGTGAACACAGACTCTGGGCAGGAACTGGCTCTGTGGGTGTTGGGCACGTGTCCAGAATAGCTGGCTGTAGAAAAAAATGGGCAGAGCTCCTCAAACATTAACAGCTTGTGTGCATGGCTTGTGCTCTCTGTCCTAGGTTTTGCACTTTATGTGTGGGGGTTGCTACTAAATCTCATACCGATGTCTTCCCACAGTGGGTGTCTGTTGCTTTTGAGTGCTCTTAAGAATATGAGCTGCAGTGTAGGGTGGGCTGGTGTAGTCTGTGGGATCACTTCTGTATTCCCTATCTGAAATGTGGGAAAATACAATTGTGGGAAAACTGTGGACAATTTTTAGGGCAATTTCTGTGGCCTAGATGAAAAAAGGAAGAGTATGCATCCTTAGTATTCAGCATACCTGTGTCAGAGCATGCTGATCTTTTGAGGACATTCTGCAACTAGTATTGGCCTATGACTCGAAGTTGTTTTCCTGTGATAATGGGCAGACACTGAGGTGTATTAGTGCACATCTTATGGAAACAGCAGAAATGAAAATGTGCACAGGCAAGCACAGACCCTGGCACCACATTGTTTTAAGTGGAACTCGGCTTTGCCTGATTGTGACTACTGCCAAACAATTTACCCTAATTTGTGCTTAGAGCAATACTTTAACCTTGCTGGAGCACAGAGCAGTCCTTCTTCTAGTAGAGAAACAGCCCAACTACTAAAGGGTATTGGTTGAGTAGCACTGAAAACATTGACACAAAGATAGATAAGCTTACATACAGTCCCCTCTCACTGGAAGGAGTAAGGACTTTTGTAACAAGTTTCATGCACACTGTTGATGCTCCTTCAGACTTACCTTGTTACAGCGAATCCTGTTGTGCATGCTATAATTAAGCATCCTCCTTTTCAGGCGATCCTCAAAGAACCGGCGCAAGGCTGAGCGGAAGAGATACAGCTTGAAGGAGGGGAGTGCTTTTGAAGATATGGCCCTTCTGGAAGTCCTGGGAGAAAATGTTCGTGCTGTTGAGACTGTGAAGGGTAGGACACCTGATGATCTTAATCCGCTTCACAGCTTGTGAGGACAGCTGAGGCAGTGTGCCCCCTCTTGTTCTTAATGGGTATGCTGGGGAGAAAGCTGCGTGGTCCATAAGATCTGTGTTGGACCTTGATTTAGTTCATCTGCCTCTGTGCTGGGAAGAACATGGGTGAGCTCTCAACATTTGAAGTTTGGGAGCAGAGATGTGAGGCCATGTCAGTGCTGTGACAGATTTGTCTGACATTTGTACTCAAGCACTGTAGGGGCTTGGTAAGAACAGAATGAGTTCTGATTTGCTATTCCCCTTCTGTGCCCTGATAACCAGAGAAATACAGCTGTTTATTTAGCATGCCTGTGTTAATTGCTATTGCTTGTGTTCTGTTCCCTCTTGCAGGAGACATACACATCCTTCTGAAGCAGCTTGTGCTGTTTGGTTATGATGAGCAAGCTGGAGCACTGCAGCAAGTCCTGGAAGAGGTTTTGGAGTTGATGGAGACCTCAATCCCAGAAATCTGGACTCCAGACCTGCAGCAGAGCTCTGTCAACCCGGTCTGTGGTCATCCACAATACCCATCACATCTGCTGTGCAATACCAAGCATTTATCAGTGTTTTGTCTTCTCCAGCAAATAGTCTGGAATTATTCCCTGGCTTTCCAGATACACTTTTTTTTTCTGTCAAGGTCAAATAGGTACTCTATGCAGTACCTGCCAAGTCAGTGCATTCTAGATGTGTACAAGTATAGCCTCCTGTGTGCCTTGCACTGAATGCCACATTGGACATGATGAGATCTCACAAGGCTGGTGTTACCTTGTCCTAATGGTGACTTCTTTCTGTAAGCTCTATTGTAGACCAAAACACTGTTTTCTAGGCCTGATGGTTGAATTGTTAACATAGGTTTTATGTACTGGAGTAGTGGTTGTCTGACCTGGTGTTGTGAAGTGAAAAGGTAACAGACTGGTCAATTTAGTCTGAACCAGAATATCATAAGGAGTATATTGCAAAAAGAAGGGTTATGTCAGGCTTCTAAACTTCAGCTTAATGTGGAGTAAGGAAATCACGAGGACTGCTCTGAGTTCTTGTCCAAAGTAGAAGTCTTTATTTCTAATAAGTAGATTCTGACCATTCATGGTGAGCACAAGGCACTCCCCAGTATCTTCTCACTAGCTACTGATTAGCAAGAGTCTAAGAACCAATTAGAACTGGTTTATGTGACGGAGAGCTGAGACTCTCAAATGAACTTTAAATATTCCTTGCCCTGTAATGAAAGTAGGCCTGTCAAGTCATGACACAGTGCTGTGAGGAAGTAGGTGCTGGGATAAGGGGTTTGTGTCCTGAGAAGCTGTCCAAAACCACTTCTCTCTCTCTCTGCCTCTGAGATATTACTAGGCTTTGATCACATATTCCTAGTCACTTTGTACTATGAGGTCTCCTGCAGGCAGCTGCTTCTGCTTTTGAAGACTAACAGCAGAGTTTTCTTTGTAGGTATCCCAGCTCTTAGCCTTGCTTTGTGCAGGTTAGAACATGGGTATTGCTTCTTCGTGCAGGTTAGAACATGGGTATTGCTTCTTCATACAGGTCCTGGGACCCAATTCAACTGCAAACAGCATTATGGCTGCTTATCAGCAGAAGAGGATGACGACTCCTGTCATGCAAGGTTAGTTGAGGCTTTGAGTTAGGTGTGGGTATGAAGTGTCAGTAAGATCAGTAGGCTTTGAGGCTCTCCAAGCATTGCTACATGCCAACAGTTGTAACATTTATTTAGTTTAGGAGGCTTTTTTGCTTTTCGTTATGCTGTACCCTCCCACCTGGCAGCAACTGAGCAACCTTCTTAATAAGGCTTTACTTGCTCTGAAATCCTGTGTCTGAATTGTGCTCCTGTCTTCCTGTGTGTGTAGTGTGTCTGTTGTGAGGGAATTGGAAGTCTTGAGTTCTTAGGGAATGTGTTAGGTAATTCTAACTTACTTAGTTAGGTAATTGTAACTTACCTGCTGAATTTTTCTACCTGGCTTTGGCAGCTAGGTCAGGCTCTTAACCTGGACAGGCTACAGTCTGTCATGGTGCTTTGCCATCTTAAAGTCCTTGCAGCTCACACAAACTTAGGGCTGAGAGACCTAGCAAGAGCTGGTCTCATCTCCTGTCTGTCTTCCCTCTTCCCCACTAGTCGTACAGTCTTTTCCCCTACTAGTCCTGGAATTGCCTGGAGAAATCCTCTAATAAACCTCTAGATGTGACCTGTCTGTTGCCATTTGCCAGAGCTGGCTCCCGAGAAAAAACACTGTGCCTCTTACTTCACAGTTACCAGAGCCAACTGACTGTTTTGTATGTCCCAGTTACTGGTGAATGAATGGAGTTCTGCTTTCTGCTGTTGATTGTTGCCTCCTTGTTCTGAACAGTAACACAGAATGAAGAGGGAACTGGATTTGCCTCTGAGATTTATTTCTGTAAGCAGGTTCTGCTGGAGGGACTCTTCCATGCATAGTGGTGATCAGTCACTAAAGGGAAATGCTATGTGTTAGAGACTTCTCAGTGTCCTTTGACTTAAAGAAAAGTAAACTTAAGTAGTTGACAGCTCTTAAAGAAACCATATTGCTGCTACCCTCTGTTCTGACACTTGTCCTGTTTGCCTTTCAGATCCAGAATTACTTATTCCACCAAAACTCAATAAAAATCTACAGTGGAAACTGCACCTGCTCCAGTAACAAAGCCAAGAATCCCAGTGGACTCTGAATTGTAACTTTCCATATAATTTCATTACATCTTTACAGAAATCATTGTCCTGGCGTTTCTGATACACTGTTCTTAGGGCTGTACAAGTGAAGGGTCCCCCCACCTCATGCAGTTGTGACTATGACCTGTATGGCATCACACTAACGGGAACAGCCACTCATGTCCCAGGGCAGAGGTGGTTTGTGAGGTTGGGGAGTAACAGGGTGTGCAGCTCTGAACACTGCTGGCTGAATCCAGCATCTCCCACGACTGTTCCCTCCCTTCTGGATGAAGCAACCCCAGCAGTGTTGGACAGGCTTCTTTCTCTGCTTTCACTCCCTCCTGTGGATGGTACCTGCTGTGATGACAGGTCACATTTTAGCCTGATTAAGAGATATGTAGCAATAGCAAATTGTTGTAGTTGCTAAACAAAAGAGTTTTGTTTTCTTTGTTGAAGCTGGATGTTGGTAATGCCAGATTTTCATCAGAACCACTTAGTTACATTAGAGTGAACCCTGCACTACCAACTGTCATTACTGTCCTGAAAGTGCCCGTTTGCACCAGGGAGATTGTGGATAGAAGAAAACATGAACAAAAGCAAGGGGTGGGGTGGTGAGTGTCAAGAGTCAGACACTGCTGGGTAATACTACCCTAATTATCTGAGTTTAAAGAAGATCAGCTAATGCTGCTGTATGGCACTGAGAGATTAGCAGGTGTACTCTGATAATGATGTGTGCTGTTGCAGAACTGTTTCAGCTGGAAACCGATTAACCTCATACCTGAGAGTTAGGTTTTACCCCAGAATACTTCTGCAGTCTGACTCAAGATGTAACAGTAGTAGTCCTGGGAGCAGAGGAAGGGGACAAGCTCTGCAGATGAGGCTGGAAACCCTTTCAGCAGTAACACCCCCCATCTCCCTCACTTAATTTTGGCCTGGTAGCTGCTGTGTTTGGTGCAAGCCATTTCAGTTTGTTTGGTGCTGTGGAAAAATGCCAGCACGAACAGGGCACTTCCTGTCTGTTGGAGGTATCTAATGACATAGTGATGGGCTGTGTTCTTGCTGCACTGCATTAGTGTCTGTCTAGGGTTGCAGATCATTGGTTTTTGCTATGTGAGAACTGCATAATACTGGGGTGGCCATATGGGCTGGTACTGTATGTGCTGTGCTGGCTTGGGGTTCTGGGGTGGAGTGGTAAAATAATCCTTTGTCAGTGTTGTGTGAAACCTCAGTGGTGTGATTTCCAGCTGTTCTGAGTTACATGGCCTATTCTGAGTGATGTGGGGATGGTTTAAGCCTCTTGTCAAGTACTGTGACTACACTGGAAAGAGATTCTCTAAGAGTATCAAGGCTCGAGATGGCAAAACACCTGAGAGGCTGCAGAGTGTTCTACTGGATCTGAGTCTTCAAAATGGTAGAACACAGTCCAAGATGAAATGTAGAAGCCATCTTTCAGATCTGGAGAAAAGGGGGTGATGAGGGAGTCTGTGGTCCTCTCAGTGATATGGAGGGTTCTGGCCCTGCAGCTGAAATGTGACCCTGACACTGCTAATCCCTGACGTTCCTAAATCTGATGCCAGGAAATGCTGAGGTCTTGAGCAGTTTATTGTCTAGAAAGAGATTCCCTCTTTAAAGAACCCAAGAAAAGGTAAAACGCTTACTAATGGATTCATGCTTGTGCCTAAACAAAGCAGTTTCCTTATTGTATGTATATGGGTTATTTTGCTTTTCCATCATGGTGATGGTCAAAGCTGCAGACCCTCTGGTCTTCCTGTTCTGTCAAAGAAAAATCACTTCAAATCTGCTATTCAGGTGGAAGACCAGTCTCCTAAATCATTCATACTGTAATTCATCGCTGAACTCCATTGTCTTCCCCTCAGTGAACTCTGACTAAGGAGCAGTAGAGCTGGAAGCAGCACCTAGTCTGTGAGCTTGCAGGGGAGGAAGTCCTGCTTCCTAACTTTGACAGTTACTGAACCTCTTTTTCTGTTCAGCAGCAGCCAGAAGTCTGCTCTCCCTTGATTTCTACAAGGATGCTCTTTTGCTTTTTTAGTGATGCATGGCACCTTAAAATATATTCTACCTTAGCTGCTGACTTTACAGGCAGTGTTGAATTTGCTCTTCTGAGTTCTGTGGAGGCTCTTAGGAACAGATGCAGTTAGCAGGAATTAGAGTAAACTATTAATGCAGAAATACAGACTTAGCTTAAGAAATGTCCCAATTTCTGCTCGAACATGGCTGTGTGAAAGCCTGATTCTACTCAGAGTAGTTCATCACCTGTTTGCTGTCTAGCTTCATTAAATACAAAATACAAAAGAAAGAAAATCTTTTTCAGACACACAATAACACCAAAATAATACAGCTGCAGCAAAAATCTCTTTTGTTACAACAAGGGGTTGAAGGGGGGTTCTCTTGGATTAATTCAGATACCATTTATCAACACTGGTCTTTTTAGGGCACCCAGTGTCTTCCTACCTTTTTAAGAAGTGCTTCTGAGGAAGGACCATGTTCTTCATATTCAGTCCTGTAAACCCAGAGCTCCTGGAGAGAGTGGAGTGAGGCCAGAATAGACCCCCCAATCCAAACAGAAGACATTCTCTGAGGGAGTGCAGCTGTGATGAGGTTGTCACTGGGGCACATCTTGGTCAGTTCCATCTGGAAGCGGTTGGCAGAGCCCTCCATCATAGTGCTGCCCCCACACAGGAGGATATTCTCCACCAATTTTTGTTGACATTGCCCTAACACTTCTTGAGACAGGAGAGTGTCAGCTGCAAAAGCCCTGGCTGCTGTGAGCCAAGTAAGGCTGGTTTGAAGAGCGCTTCAGCCCAAAGGAATCTCTCCTTACCTACAGTGACAAGGTGTCCGTCTGGCAGCTCACAATACATTTGTTGTTTCTGAACAGGCAAACTCAAGTCCTGTGTAAGGTCCAGAGAAGTGGAACACTTCTTGATGTCTTGTACAATGTTAAGCTGGTGTTCTATGAACATGATTCCAGACTCATATAGTAACTTCATGAGATAATGTGTGATGTCCAAACCAGCATAATCTACTCTCCCAGTGATGCTACGTATAACATAACCTTCATAGATGGGAACCACATGTGAAATGCCATGGCCACTTTCCACCACAAGAGCTGAGGTTTTTCTGTAAAAAGTACATGGATAATGGGGACTGGTAAGCAATGTGGATGGCAGGCATGTGAAATCCTTGAAACATCATCTCAGCATATCTCTCCTTGTTAGTGATGGAACACAAGGGAGGCACTGACCCCAGAAAAGCACAGTCCTCTGGCTGAATCTTCGTCTCTGTCTAGACAGTACACTCCAAAGTATCTTGGACACAGTTCCAGTCGACCACCATGCCATGTCTTATTGTGTTGGTGAGTGTTAAAGGTATGCTGCTATTCTGAAGCTCTCTTGAACAGAAGTTTCTTCTTGACTGTTCCCAGTCTCCTGTGTGGGCTTACCAGCTGTACATGAAACAATGTAGGAAGGTCATGGGTCCCCCGCAAAGCCACATTTGAAGTAACCTGTGCCCATGTCTGTGACTACTGCTTCCATTTCCTTCATGGCCTTGAGGCTGCCCTTGGTCATGGATACATGGCTGTCCCTTACAGTCTTCAAACAGCTTGTGTCTGCTGTTGGGAAAGGTCTGCAAGAACAGCAAACAGCTGTGACCTGATCCAGTAAGTGCTGGACATGCCCCTCGCATTCCCCTGCCAGCACTGCACCTGGAGTCAGTGCAAACAGCAGATGTGTGATGGAGCCCTGGTGGCAGTGGTTCTACTGATGCAGCTGGCTCATGACACCATGCATAGGCTTGCTGCTCAGAAACCAGCACTCTGCATGCAAGCATGTGACAGTCATGACTTGGACAGCTGCATACTCTTTCAGTAGAGATGGATTGCAGGTGTTTGTGCTTCACCGTGCTCTGAGGTACTAGAAAACATGACACACACCCAGATGTCACAGGCTGTGAAGCATAAACAGTGCATTTCACTGTGAAGCAGCATGACTTTTCTTTCTGGCTTGCATCTGTCATGTGATGAAGAGCATGGTTCTCCAGCATTTGCAATTGCTCTTGGTCCAAAATAATTATGTTGCTAAACATTAGCACTGCTTCACCTCTGGGGCTAGCCACATCAAGTGCTAGTTGGACCATGTCAAGTGAATCCCTAGGCTAGCTTTGCTTTTGTCATTGTTTTGGTTCTGTTTTTTTAAGTTTTGCTTTCTAAATTAAGGTAGTCAAAAACTAGTGTGAAATTAGACCACAGTGAACCTCTAACCCTTACTGTCTCCCATTCTGCTATAGGAACATCTTTGTTCCTTTTCCAGCAGCAACAGGTCACTATTTGCCCCATCAGAGTGTGTGTGATAACACACTGCTGCATGGGGGCACAGAAAAGGACACCACCTCCCCACAGAATACGTTATCAAGAGTTATGAACAGCACTTTCCTTATATAACAAAAGCTCTGTGTGCTCTTACTGAAAGCCATTTCACCCAGAGGGCATCTTAACAAGTCGAAGCTGGTCTTAGAATGAAATTGAACCCTGCAAATCAGTTCTGGATGCAGAAACAGATTTATTATTACTACTGCTGTGCTGCTGCCTATCTGGGAGTTCACATCTTGATGACAATCAGATGATAGAGGCTAACAACAATCCCCGTGTGGAGAAACAGGGCAGCATTAAACCACACAATTACCGTACCAGTCTCAACATACACAGCCAAGCAACCGCAAACCTTGATAGCTTATTACCCTGGGGAGCAGTAAAGCTGGTCATTGCCTATTGTACATGTATTTTTATAAATAAATTATTAAATACAACTGTGTACACAAAAAAGATAGGCTGCCCCTCTTAGATCCTGAGCAGCAACTACTGTGGCACCCTGTTGATAGGCAATGTGTGCTCCACAGCTAAGGGGAAGCTCAGCAGCACTGGAATCTTCATGCCATGCTGTGGCACAGCAAAGCAGGGGCACTCGCTGATGCTCCTTCCCATGCACTCTGATTACATTTCTTGGACAGTTTTGCTGTCAGCCACACCAGCCTCTACAACATTACCACCTGAGAGAAACTTCAATGATGGGCAGAAGACATCAAGAGAAAAATGTGTAAGTAATGGTTTCATAACTTTCTCAGTAGAAACCTAGATCTAGGCTCATATGCCTTACATGAAATAAATCCTTTCATCTAATCCAAACATTTTTCCAGACTTCAGCTGACATACAGATTAGTGTGGCAGTACCACAACAAAGCTGCAAACAGCCTTCATTTCAGAAGTCACTTTATTTTATGGGGATTTTTTTGTCTAAGCTATTACAAAGTTAGTATGCTGTTGTTTCCAGGCTACTTTTTCCCCACATTCCAGTTAACAAAAAGCATACATGTCCTAACATTTTGAGGTCTTTGTTTCAAGCTGGAATCTGAAGACAGATTGTAAAATGATTTTTTGCAAAGTCATTTTGGCCAGTGTTTCCTGAGATGTTCCTTTAACTGTGGGATAGTGGACAGCTGTTGTTTGCAACAATGGCATCTGAGGGGCAATTTGAGAAGTTCAGAGGCGTGATCTTTCACCATCACTTTTCCCTTGCTTCTTACCATCTCTATCACATCTGAAAAAAAAAAGAGACTACAGTTATTGCGACCATGTGGCATCATGGAACACATGACAGTGCAGAATCTCTGTGCACTGCTTCACATGTATAGCACATCATCACTGCATTCCAAATTGACTTTTACTTAGTGCTATTCCCCAACACTTCAAATTACATACAACCTTTCACTTATTACAATAGAATTTATGACTTAATTTGTTTGGAAAAAAAGCCCAAAGTCAGAACCCACAACTAGGATTATGTGTTATGAAGTATCTTTTCTAATGATTACCTTCAGAGTTTAAGAAGTAGTCTGTAGTAAAAGAGTTCCAGTGCTTTTTGGTTTTCAGTGCTGGAGAATCAAAATCCTGGCTGATTACATGCAAATGTAGCTGACTGAAACAAACAGATTACATAGATAAGAGAGAAGAATAATGTTAATGTTCAGAGTTCTTTTGCAGTAGTATGAGTTGTAAACATGATTCAGCAGCCAGACTGCCAGCGTTATGGGTCAGTCTTTCCATGTTTGACCCACCGTCCTGCGACAGAACAAACCCAGTCTGTTCTGCAAGCCCTGCCTCATGCCAAGCATTTCACCTGAACAGTCAAGGTCACAAGTCTGAATATTCCATTGGCCCCTAACTAGTCTATATTGTGCTTCCAGAAAAAGGCAGAGACAGGGGTTTTAATAAACCAAACGTTTAAACTTTGTGAAGTACCTGAATGTGACTTGATCAGTTGATCCAAGAACTGGAGAACAACTTAGGAACACTGACTGCAATACCCCCAGGCATTTGGATGCTCTAAGATAGCACCTACTTACACAGAAGACTAAAATCTTTGCTCAGTATCAGGCAGAACTTGATCAGCTTAAGAGCCTCCCTGATCCCAGCCCAGTGCCCTGGGAGGGGGTTGCCCTAGCACCTGGGTCACACTGCCTTTGTCACTGGGGCCAGGCCATAGGCGTACCGCATACTGTAGCCCAGCTCCAGAGCTCTGCTAGGGCAACCCAAGAGGCACTGGACCCAGATGCCCCTGTAGCCCATCAGCATGTTCTCAGCAGCGTGTGCACAGCTGCATCCACAGGATGTGGACACCAACTTGTTTGCAGTGTTTAGGAGGATGAGCTGTACTTCAGCAATGCCAGATCATGTCACAGATTTTAGCCCCAAATCTGTGTAACTAGAACAACAGGGTCCCCACCTGATGACTCACCTAGGTCTTACCTCATACTGGGGATAGCATGGTAACCCAGTCTGAACTCGAGACTCTCTCTGGCAGGGCACTGTTCGATCATTTTTTGCCCAACTGCATGCATATGTTCCAGGAGCTCAAGATGGTCCCTGGTGACTGACTTCAAGCTTGAAATGGGGTCCCATGGTAAGATAAGCCAGTGGTAACGTGCTTTGGGGTATTTATCCTTGATGACTACAGTCTTTTCATCTTTGTAAACCTTACAAAACAAATAACTAGATTACTTACTGATTGAAAGTTAAATATCTTATTTCTATAAGCACTGTATTTAGTGGATTTTGCTGTGAGACATCTGCACATCCCATTATGGTTGCAGAAGTCCCTAAGCACACGTATGTGTTGCTAGTGCAACTTGGATTGCCAGGAAAAAAGATGGAGCGAAATATCAAGCAGCAGAGTACTGCACTTCAAGGAGGACTTTTTCTGGAACTAAGCTGGTCCAGGATATGTGCCCACTTCCATACCATGCACCAGACAGCTATGGAGAGATGTTTCAGCATCCCTCTTTATATAGTTCAAGGAAAAAGCTTTCTATTCTAACATAGCAGTGTTAACCATTGCTACATGTGAATATGAACTCTCTTGAAAATCACCTGGATTCAGATACCAGTGAGGTCTAGGAAACACTACTTCCATCAGGCTACATTCAAGCTTTGTGGTCACTGAAACAAAAATCACAGCACTGTGCTCAATATAGAGCACACAGAAGTGCACTGGACTGCCTCATCCTTTGCAGATTTCTGGAGTGAAACCCAAGTCTCAGAGGTGCTACAAATAGTGGGCATAGCCCTGCAGACCTCTGACAGTGTTACAAAGACAAAGACATTCAAGTCTCAGCTATTCCAGTTGGTGCTACCTAATGTGTTACTTTGTAAAGATCACTCACAAAAAGAACAGATTCCTATCTATCATGCCCTTCTTTCCCTGTTTTCATTTTGTTTTGCCTTTTGCAACAATTGGAGGCAGCTGATGAAGAGAAACAGTAGCAAAGCACATGGAGAACAGGGGGGCAGGTAACCTGCCCCTGGCAATAAAGATCTTGTCAGGTTCAGAAGCAGGAACAGTGTTCTGTATCTCTGATCTCTTAGCAGTGCATCTATTGGTGAGAGATGGATGATGTCTTTGTCATCTTTGCTAATTATTGTCATGTGTTTATATACAGAGCTGATCAGTCTTGCTCTACAGGAAGGAAGATTAAAATTTTATCAGCACATAAATCACACGACTGATTCTTTCAGCAGCAAGACTGGTTGATGCTGTCATATTTTTATATACACACATCAGTGTCTGCATATGCAGCCAGTGCAAACAGGATCATGATCAAGTGTTTTCAGAAGAAAGAAATATTGCCATTTATTTAATATTTGATTAAAATGCAAAGATGGGAGTTGTATTGATTGCATATTTGGTTCAGAAGCACAACTAATAAAGCTAACACTAAGTCACAAACAGTAATTTGTGTTCTAACAGTCAAAGAACAGTTTTAAAACCAGGTTATCTTTTGGGTCTGGAAAGCACTGTCTTGATAAGTACTATATGAAACTGCTTAAGGGATGAAGATTAAGGTTCATGATTAAAAAGTAAGCAAGAATTTCAGTAGCTTTATCATTCCCCATATACTCATTTGAAGCTGCTGGCACTACCAGGAGAGTGGGCATCCAGTTTTCTTACTCAACACTTTAGACTTGAATTATTTATTAAAAAAAAAATAAAAAAATAAAAATCAAGAAACAGGGACCTTCTGATTAGTTATCAAGGAAATTATTTTCAGCTTGAGGGTGTTCATCACCTGAGGGGGCCCAGTGAAGCTGTGGGATCTTTGCCCTTGGCAATACCTCAAATAGACAAAGACTGGGGCAATCACTGAGTGTAAACAGTCAGGGTAACCTCCAAAGGCCTTTTCCAACTGAAATTACTCAGTAATTTCAAGAACCAAGTATCAAAGGTGTCTGTGAAATCTGTCCTCCTGAACACATACTTTTGTTAAGATGGACATGCAGCAGCCAGCCAAAACCCAAGCTAAATGGATCCAAGCTTCAGGCCTTACTCTGCCAGATAGTGGAATATTGATGGAAAGCATTCTTCCCATTTCGGATTTGAGCTAAAAAGCTTGGTTTTGAGAAGGAGCTGTCTATATATTTTCTTTAACTTAAAAATAAAGGAGTTTCTATACATGGATAGTGAAGATCCTCTCAGGGCTCTCTCAGAATACAGTAATGAGAAAGTGTGTATGCAGTGCAGCCACAAAGACCTTGTCAGATTTCTGCATCTTGAGTCTGACCTCCCAAAAAGCCGGCAGCAGACAACAAAAAAAGAGCTCAAGGAAACCATTATGCAGCCACACAGAAGCAGGGAGAGGGAGGTGCATCTGGAGTATCTGCAGGTTAAAAGAAACCACCCAGGAAATTCCTGTTGGTACAAAGAAACCAGGTGAAGGAGGAGACAGGGGTCACATCCTGTCAGCTGGCACAGAGGTGTTGCAGTGAAGAGTTTGCTGGGAACCAGGGAACTAACACCATCCTTGGAAACAAGGCAGCGCTGACTGCCAGAAAACAGGAACCTCCGCTACTTGCTCAGCTTCAAACTACACCTCCATTTTAGTTGGTTTCCCTGAGGAAACAAAGCAACTGCACCACTTGCCTGCTCTCCCAACAAACTTTTAGAAATCTGTTGGGCAAATTACACAGTGTAAGGAGCTCAAAGATAATTAAGATAATGACATTCTGCAAAATCAGGATAGCAGAAACTTCCAAATTAATGCTACTACAGGAAGAGATGCAAGAACAATTCAGTCCTTATGCAGTACTCCACTGGTTAATCAGATCATTAAACTGTAAGGAAGAAAGCAAGCTCATTCAACTTCGTTGAACAGGAACTACTGTCAAGTACAGTATACAGCTCTCACCTGCATTTTTGGATCTTGCATGGAGCTCTTTAGACCCTGACTCCAGTGTCCTAAAGGTTCCTAGAGCACAGAAAGAAAAAAATAATTTACAAGATAAGTAAGAATCCGATTAGATTTTTTAAAGCATTCAGTTAAGTACTTTCATTAGCATACAGCAGTAAAATAACAGCTGAATGACATCTGAATTACCTCCTTTCTATGAATGCCAACACATCTGCTCCAACTGCCCCCACAAAGCTACTTTTGAAAACTTTTAACAAGATACTGTTAAGATTCGAAGTTAACTCTTTCCAGGTTTGGAAATTTAACAAATTCCAAATAGGAGTTCTAGATATGTTTAAATTTAATAATTTGCACACGTGTTATGGCACAGTCCTTGATTACTACTGATGACAGATTATTTTACTAAAATACACTCTGCTTCATGCATACAAGGGCCAAAGGAAGTCAAGGATGTCCATCAACTGTCCTACCACATGCTTCTCTACAAAGTGGTTGTGGTGTGCAGCCCTACTCCTAGATGCATTTATTTTTTGATATTGTGCAAGGACTGTCTTGTATAGGAAACAAGAAAGGTATAGGAGACCAAGTCAACACTAGCAGAGATCTCTTAACTTGGTTACTGAACACCTAACAGAAGGTGTCTCAAGTGCACATTTTTCAAAATGGACGTTTTATCTGTTCAGATCCCTTTACTGGCATTATTAACAATGACCTTCATCGTATTGTTATAGAGGAAGATGTTTAATTATTAATAGTGCTGACAGAGAAACAATGTGAATTGTCTTGTCTCCCTACTCATACACCACAACCTGGGACTGAAATTTTGTCCTAAGGGGTTTTATTTCTGTGCCTTCTCCACCAGCAACTGCATTGTTTCAGATGCACTAAGCAGTCTTTTACTTTGTCCCTGTGAGCAGGGCTAATTACTGCCTTTCAAAAGATTTTTTTGCTGGTAATACTCATTAATGCAAATATGGTTTTACCAGAAGGAATGACCAAAGCAGGAGGAGGCAGCAGTGGGAGGGAGAGTAATTAAGGAAAAAAAAAAAAGGTATGGTCAAGTTGTTCCATTCTCTTGTGCAAAAGCTTTTAGATAACTACTGCTCTATTTGTAACACAGCAGATTTCATCTCAAGAGCCATCACAGTAACCTCGTGTGACTCCAGCTAAACTGAGATCACATGAACTGTCCTTCTAGCAGAAACTGCAGCCAGGAACCAGAGATTAAATCCTCAGGCACCACAAGCAAGCCCCTGCACACACACCCCGCAGCATGTGTTAGAATGACTCTCAGGTAACTTTCTCAGGACGTGGGTGATGTCAGGAGCAGAGTCTTTGCCTCAGTGCATGTCAGCTCCCATGCTGTGAATGCTCTGAGGATCTGTGTTCACCTGAGACACCTCCACACCAGTAGTATCTACAAAAGTAAAACACCAAAGCCCTGATGGAGGAGACTACCCCAGGAGAAACAGCACAAGTACTAGTACCAATACACTTGCCTTTTTGCTCAAAGTTGGAGATACACCAGTATTGCTTATCTTGGGATTTGCAAAACTGCCTTGTGTGCCCACCACCTCCATCTTCATTGTTTTTCTGGGCACAAGCTCTACATCATCATTCTCGCAGGAGTCCTCACATAGCATCTCGTTGGTTTGTATTTTCTCTTCTGTTTCTGTAATTGTTTTCCCCGACTCTTCAGCAAATTGGACTGTGTAGGGGTAAAGTTTATTCACAATATGCAGAACTTGGCCTGGCTTCATTTTCACCTCTTCATCCTTGCCAATAGTCACGAGATCAACACTAGTTGGGTTGACTCCTATCTTTGGTAGGGAGAAAAAGGAAAAAAAAAAAAGCAAATGATGTTGTAACTACCAGTCCATTGTCCTGGAATATCACTATCCTGGAACGCAAATGCATTTTATATTCACTGCACCCCCTCCTCACACCAACCCGCTCTAGAGGACCAGGGAAGTCCAGCACTAGAGACACCTCTCTGTGTCCTAGTCTTGCAATCACAGCTGTCAGCACAAAACCCTCAGGAGCATGGTGTCACAGAGACCTGACAATGCTGTGGCAGCTGACTACAGAGTAACAGCAAGACCTGTGCCACACTTTGTTCAAAAAAAATTCACAACCTAATAAACAACTATTAAAATAACAGTCTTGGTAACAATTATTTCTGAAGAGTAAGAGTAGTTTTAACAAATTATTTCAGTCCATCCCCAGAAGTTTTCCTGTTTTCAAATTATTTTACTTTCTCTTTTTTACTACAATTTTCTGTTTCTACCACATGCTGTCACATCAACACATTTGCTATCAAATACACAAGCACAGTCCCCTGGCTCATTTCAATAGAAAGAGGAGTTCAGGCCCATAACCACTAGCTCACCAAGCACAGCCCACTGCTAACACTTGCGGGAGGGGGAAACAATCAGGAAAAATGTATCTCTGAGCCCCCAGAAAAGTCCATTACACAGGAATCCAGTCCTTGCTCACGCCTCTTTTTAATTTCCCAAGCCAAATGTGTAACGCTACTCCAGCTCACAGAAGACTGTTCAAACATGGTGACAACCTGCCTGTTCCTTTGACAAGCTAAACCTCTCTGTCCACCTCAGCTTGTGCAAAGTATATACCAGCCTATCCGTATTATAATACTTTTATTTTCATTTTCCATCTTATATTTTCACAAAAGCAGCTCTGTTACTTATTCTGTTCTAACGGAAAATTAGGACAGCAAGGTCAAATTTTTATCTCACTGCATCAGTTTATAGCTCTTTTAAACTCTAAAATAATGTTCTTCTCAAAAGAGTGTTTTAAAGACTGAGAAGCGACCTGAAGTTTAGCTGATAATTGAAAAGCAATACATTTTCTGTGTAAAGCATAACTGGTAACACGAAGTGGCATGGGCAACCTACAGTGACTGCTTGATAGATGAATTTTGCCTGATCATGAATGAGGGTGACCCTAGGGAAATTAGGACTTTCCATCTTCAGCAAAATGCTTTTGGTTAATGTTTATGCATGAAACAAGCTTTAGGAAACCAGCTCTTCCCTGTGACTGATACAAATCTGTCACAGAAAGTTTTTGGAGCTTTGTCACCGAGATACTTGCCTGCTTCGCAAGTCGGTACTGTGCCTCACTCCTCACTGTGATGAGGCACCCACCTGATCCCAGTCAGGAGCTCTTCAGTCGACAGTTCTGCAGTTTCACTCAAGTCAAGTACACCTCACATCCCCTGGGCCAATATGCTACCAAACAACTGATCACTGGAACCCTCTGCCACACACAAATCACCTGGGTAGCAACTCTAGAACTGGCAGCAAAAACATGCTAGCACCCACTACCAGAAAGTATTCCCAGTGCTAAGATTTCAGGAACATAGTATTCAAACTGTGGCTAAGGCTGACTTCTATGAAAAATTGCCTCAGAGACCTTTGCCAGATCCACCAGATTCTGGTGCTTACTGAGCACTGGAGGCATTTTGACAGATGTTACTCCTCAACAGGCAAAAGACGTTCATGTGTTGTTCACATACACTTGATGCTGCAGGCACACGTACATGCTCCAGCACCGAAGCCAGAGAATTTTCCCTTCATATTATCTCAGGGATACTGGTCCTCCTAAGTATGAGAGCATAGGCCTACGTCCATCCAGTTACTAACATGAGAATGCCTTCAGTGCTGTCTCACATCCCATCCCTTCCCAGAGGTGACCACACCTTCAGCTCCATCAGCCACCAAAACAAAAACCTTCCACAACTGCTCAGTTCCATTAACACAAGAAGCAATTATGACCTTAAATGAAGGGCTGTCTCAGCTTTAGAAGTTTAAGGCTCAGGAGGCAGATCAGCAAGTTTAGGGAAAAAACTGCAAAATCTCCCAAACATAGTGCCTAGAAGAACAGTTTGAGGATTCACAGCAGCATTCCCTGATGCTACAACATGGTTGCCTGAAACTACTGCAGTCTTTCCATTGAGATAAACAAAATAAAAAGGCAGATCCCTTTTAATGACCACTTGCTATGCTCTCCTCAGTCATAGAACAACTTCACGCCCTACAGACCCAGCGATCAGAATCATCACTTGCAGCATTTGTGGAGTTTAAGTACCACCCCAGTTAGTACACCCATTTAAAAACATACCTGCTTGACCGTGACATACCCCTTGTTACAGTCTGCTTTTAACTGAACTGGAAAGAAAGAACAAAGCATCACGAAACAATGTAAATAAAAAGGCTAGAACTCTGCTCAACCAGCTCTTGCAGAAAACACTCCTGTATTTTAAGATCTGCTACCTTCTGAAACATCTCTGTGAATCTATGCAAAGAATACTTCTGCCTCATCCTCTGTTTCCAGGACCACAGGTAAAATGGGACCAACCCATACACTGAGCCATACCTGAGTACTGCACATCATGGATTAGCAAAATTACTGCATGTATTTCACATAATGGACCAGCAGAATAAAGGTGAAATCTGTGGAAGTCTTCTATACATTCTTGCTATTCTTACTGTGTCCAGAGGGAAAAAAGATAAGGCAAGGAAGATGTGAAGGGAGGTATTTTATAGACCACAAATGAATATTTTTACATATTCTTCCATGGCATCTATAAAATAACTCATATTAATAAAAGCCATATTAAAAATCAGTTGGTGGAAGACTAGGGAGATGAAGAGCCACTCACAAAGCAAGACTGCAGGCAGTGGAACATGACTGCAGGCCTGGGGACTCATGTTAAGTTTCAATTTTACAAAGGTAAGCCTGTTATTAGGTGTGTCCTCTGATTTTTTAGGACCCAGAGATCTCCATAAGTGCTTCTAAAAAAACCTTCCAAGATCAATGACTTCCAAGAACCAGGCAACGCTATGGGCCATGGAGAGAAAGGGCACCATAAATCAGTGACGGCAGAAGCAAGCCTAAGGAAAGCCTGTTTCAATTTCAAGAAAAAACTGTGATTTTCCTTTTAGACCCTGCTGAAAGCAGGCTTACAAATTAGGCCAAAACACTGGTCAATTAGCTTCACTGTAATTTAGCCAAATACAAGAATGTTGTATCTCACACTCCACAAGTTTGGTTGATGTTGCACACAGAAAGTGGGATTTGAGCTAAACCTTACCTTGCTGCCGTGAACACTTCTTATCTGTTATCCCAGTCTCTGGGCCACGCCCAATTACAACTGCTTCCAAGTGTGGCAGTTTCATTCGCTGACTGCATTTCTCTTTCCCCACGAGCCAGCACACACGCATCGCTGTGCTGCAGAGCAAAAGAAAGAGTATGTTACTGACATGCAGCTCCCTGATGGGTCACCCTCCTGTGGAAGGGGGTCCAGGAGTTCTGTTGCCAGCCCATTCATTACGCAGAGTCACTTCTGCTAACTGGGCTCATGTTTCTGGAATTCAAGGCAAAGCAGTGTCAACACTAGCATGATCTAAGAGCAAGCTGCTGTTAAAAGGGCAATCCTATTTTCCTTCCTTCTACATCACCATACGTTCTCACATCCAGGGATCATATACAGGAAAAATCAATTGGATCAACAGTTCTATCTGACAGAAAGGCCTACCCACCGAAGTGTTTTGTTTCCCACTGAATCAGAGTTGACCTGAGCGATTTATTTACCCAACAAAGCAAAGAATCACTTAAGACCGAGAGGGGGAGAGCTTCATGCATGAAGTCTCCAGATGGACCATGCCACGAAACCGGGCTCTCAAGTTTACACCAACCTGACCTCACCCTCCCCCCCACCTGGTGCTTTGGGCTAAACGCTCCTAATCCCGGTGGAAAGCAACCCACCACTGTCACACACTGAGAAACTTGGGGCGAGCCCGTCCAACCCAGCTGCACCGCCCGGTCGGCCTGCATCTCAGGACGGGCCCCCTCCGCCGCTCACTACACGCCCCGCCTCAGGGCACCACATTTACCCGCGATGCCCTACCACCCGGGCGGGGCCCTGCGCACAGCCACGACCGCCGGCACTCCGCAGCCGATGCGGACGGCCGGGAGCATCCCTGCCCCACCGCCGCACGGCGTCAGCCACCGGCCCCGTCCCAGCCAACGGGCTGCTGCCGCGCAACA